TAACACGACTTATGCCCTGGTGTACTCCTGCTTCCTCTTTTCACACACATTTTTGTCAGCCAGCAATGTGCCCCTGTGTCCAAGAAGGCAAATCGGATCCTAACCTGGTACACTGAAATTCAGAAATCAATCACTACAAAAACACGGCAAAGGTGCAACTGTGGACATAATCTTGTAGATGGGAAGAGAAATGAGGTCTGGGAATAAGCAGAAAAAAGTCGCTATTATCACAAATTTTTGAAAGAGGCGTTGGAACATTCAGCTACAGCTTCACTGAAAAATGCCAATTCAGCATCACTTCAACTACTTCTGTGAAAGGGTGCTGATAAATTTCCATTTAAAGATTTCAGAATGATCTACAACATCTGTGTTAACATTCCCAACAGTTTGGGTTTTTCTTTATTTGACCTCACCGATGGCTTTTAGCTCTGGCTGTAGCAGAAGGCTCCTGCATTTACTGCCTGAGTGCCCTCAGCAGCAGGCCCTGGAGAGGCCTGTGGTAGAAGGATGAAAACCTCACAGACCATTGTGCTCCCAGGAGGTCTGAGCAAATTGATTTCTAGAAGGAAGAAAAAATCCCAGTTTCCCCTCTCACAGAGTGGACAATAAGACTCAACTATTTGCACTGGCAAATTGCAGGTGCACCTTGGACAGCCAGCCTGCAAGCACGGACGTATCTGTGCACACGAGGTCAAGGAGAGATGTCAGAAGTGGGATGGATGCAGGGAACAGTCACGTATGAGCCTCCAGGAACAGAGCACACATGCATCAGATGGCCAGTCATGAGTCATTGCTCATGAAAAACAGGTTTACATTTTGCTGACTTCAGCCATGAAATTATACTGGCTGAGTGTTGGAATTGAACAAAAGCAAGTCTATCTGTTATTCAGCAAGTAATGAAGTTACAAAGCTTCTTGCAGCAGGAGACTTTGGTGGTCAGAAGTATGGTGGAATTTAAAACTGGGTTTGAAAGTTGGATGAAGGTCCTTCAAAGCCTCCAAACCTGATGTTGCAAATACAGCCTGTGGTTTTGGCAGGCCCCTTGGCTGAATGTTTAGGACTCTGAATTGGGAAAGAATTACTCTACACATTCCCTACTTCCACCATCTTTTCCTTTAAATATCTGTCCCTATATTTTGTCAGATCCAGGGGTAGAACAATGCTTGGCCTGACACAAAGTGGCTATTGTCATTTTAAAGAAAGAAGAGAGAATTTAGAGAGGAAAGACATTATCAATCTCTAATTTAGACATCCCATGAGGGTTCCCAGTGTGAGCTCTGTAGTTTCATGATTTCCCTTTGTCTTAGATCCCAGCCGGCTGCCTGGGAGAGTAAGGACAGGAAGGGGAACCGAGGTAGAAAAAACTTCACTACTGAATGTGATTCTTCTGCCCCCAGTGGGTGAGACAGGGAGGTGGGAGGAATGACAGCAGCAGTAGAAGCAGAAATCTAGTGCTCAGCTTCCCTCGTGAGAGAAGGAAAAGAGAGAGAGAAAAGTGTGGTCCCTAAAACTGGAAGAGGGACAAGAACCTGGTTATGGCCTTTTGGGATCTGAACACGTTGTATGACATAACGTCGTACATTTCAGGCTTTTAATCAGAAATCAAAATGTCAGGTGTGGGCACTGATCGTGGTGCCCAGTCAGCCTGGTCCGCATCCCACAGGGTATATCCACTCTTGCTTTAAGCATAGTATAAAATCACAGCCAAGCTGTTGAATTCTGCAGCTCCGTTCAGCCCAAGGAGGCCATTCTTTCTGCTTGACAGTCCAAATGTGACAGTGTGCAAGACAGCTGTGCTTTGAGACTCTGAACTGACTCATGCCTAACTCACCAGGGAATCCAAAATCCCTCCCGAACCAGGATGCCAATTCACAAGAGAGCAGTATTTCTGCACAGCCATTTTGCTAACTGCAACATTTCTGCACTACTGTATGTTTATCTTTCACCAGGGACACTGATTTGCAGTAAAACAGGTAACATTCTCAGAACTTGACAGTTTATGCTGTAATTTCCCTTGTCTAGAATGGCAGTCAGGAGTCAGTTTTGGGCAGCTGCATGAATCCAGACCATTCAAATCAGAAGATAAACTCAACAGACTTTTTGTTCACTATTATGCACTTCATTATTTACAAATATCCTTGTCATGATTTCTGGTTTATTACAAGAAAATTACCTCCTGCTTTGTTGCATGCAGTTCTACTTCAGAGAGTGGAGAGACAAAAACAGGGATAGAAACACTTGCAATCTTCTACTTCTTTCTCTACTCAATAATGTGTTTCCTTATCTAGTCCAGAATTTTGTCAGGGCTTGACCCAGAGCACAGAGAACTTCAAATTTAAATACTTGTTTTAAATTTTGGAACAAAATAATTGTTTGAAATCCAGACCCTTTTAGCTGCAGGGTTTTTTATGTTATTTTTTTCCCCCACAACTGAAAATTTCTTCTGGGAACTAGAAAAACATAAATATAATCTTTGTATAGATATAATATATGTATACTATATGTAAGCATAATATGCTTTATATGCACGTTTAACACAGGGATGTGATATAGTGTGTGTATTTTATAATATGCATGTATTCCACATACACCATATATGAATTTGTATATGTACATAATGAACATTTTTAAGAAGTTAAACATCTTCCAGTAAGCTTACTTTCAAATTTACCATTCTGCCCTTAAATTTAATTGCTGTGGAATTCCTGGACTGTGGCTATGATGAATCAGATGACAGTAAATGCATATTTAGCCTTCATTTCTAGTAAAAAGCCTTACTTCTCAAAATAGTTCTCAGAACTCAACACAAAATAAGAACCTTTGGAGCACTGTTTGGCTCAGGCTGTTTCTTGAGCGCCCACTCATGTGAGCTAAGAGAATTCCTTCTTACCAGGAGCTGATGAGAGAGGAGAATGGACAGAAGGGGAGACATAATCATCAAAAGAAAACCCCAAACTTTAGTTTTACAGATCAAATTCCAGACCGTTAATGTGAACCAAGAATCTGGTAAATCCTCTACTCGACATCATTACCAACATGTCAACTTTTCTACAGCATGGTTGCTTTCATGAGAAGTGCCAATTTCAGGCAGGTATAGAACCATCCTGCAAATCATTCTGGTTATTTGTACTTAATAGCAGAATACATTTTCCCTTGCTGAGCATTAATAATCAATGTGTCTCCTTGGTCACACCTATTTTTTTCACAAATTACAGCATTTCTAGAATTAAATGTTGTTATTTGCATTAACGAGTGTTTCAAAATGAATTCCTTAAACACTTAAAAATATAGTAGGATGTCTCAAAGAATTTTGAGGAAGAATTCATTCATAAGAAAGAGAGGAAGGAGGATCCAGGAAACTTCAGGCTGGTGAGCCTCACCTCTGTGCCTGGGAAGATCACGGAACAGATCTCCTGAAAGACATGTTAAGGCACATGAGGGACGAGCGGGTGATCACAGCCAGCCAGCACTGCCTCACCAAGGGTAGGTCGTGCCTGACCAACCTGGTGGCCTTCTGTGATGGAGTGATGACACTGGCAGACAGAAGGAAGGCAACTGATGTCATCTACTCAGATTTCTGCAAGGCCTTTGACGTGGTCCCCCACCACATCCTTCTCTCTAAATTGGAGAGATATGGATTTGAAGGATGGACTAATCAATGGATAAGGAATTGGTTGGAAAGTTGCAGCCAGAGGGTTGTGGTCAATGGCTCTATGTCCAGGTGGTGGCCAGTGACGAGTGGTGACCCCTAGGGGTTGGCACCAATACTCTTTAACGCCTTTATCAATGCTGATGGCACCAAGCTGAGCAATGCAGCTGATACAGCAGAAGGAAGGGATGCCATCCAGAGGGATCTTGATAAATTCAAAAGGTTCAACAAAGCAGTGCAAGGTTTTGCACTTGGATCGGGGTAATTCCAAGAATATATACAGACTGGGAAAAAGAGCTGCTTGAGGGCAGCCCTGCTGAGAAGGACTTAGGAGTCGTGGTAGATGAAAAACTTAACATGAGCCAGCAGCGTGTGTTTGCAGCCTGGAAAACCAACGGTATCCTGGGCTCCATCAGAAGAGGGGTGGCCAGCGGGGACAGGGAAGTGATTGTCCCTCTCTACTCTGCCCTCGTGGGGCCCCATCTGGAGTACTGCGTCCAGGTCTGGGGCCCCAAACACAGGATAGATGTGGGGCTTTTGTAGAGCATCCAGATGATAGTCACAAAGATGCTCAGTGGGCTGCTTCATAGAAGCACCTCTTCTATGAAGACAGGCTGAGGGAGCTGGGCTTGTTCAATCTGGAGATGAGTAAGCCCTAGTAAGACCTCATTGTAGCATTCCAGTATTAAGAGAGCCTAAAAACGGGAGGAAAAACAACTTAAACAACTTTTTACACAGATAGATAGTGATGGGACAAGAGGAAATAATGGTTTTAAACTGAAGGAAGATTTAGATTAAATGTCTGAGGGAAATTTTCTACTGAGAGGGTGGTGATGTGCTGGAACAAGTTGCCCAGAGAGATTGTGGATGCTCCATCCCTGGAGGCGTTCAAGGCCAGGTTGGATGGGGACATGGGAAACCTGATCTGGTGCTTGATTTAGCATTTGGCAACCCTGCCTGCAGCAGAGGGCTGGAATCTGAAGATCCTTGCAGTCCCTTCCCACCCAATCCATTCTATGATTCTGAACGTAATGTTTACCTTTGTCCTATATAGGCTATTCATTTCAGAACTGTTCATTAAGATCAGTGAGTGTCTTTCAAATTATATTTTGTCATTTCACTGCAGGAATGATAAGCATGGGGAGTTTCAGGCCTTTGTTTAAGTATCTGCATATGATTTCTGGTATCCAACTTTACACGTCACAATTTCTAGTTTGTATAACAAATGGTAAAATCATACCTAAACTTATGACTATAACTTAGCTGACAACATTTTTTTTACTTCTGGAGGATGAAAATGCAGGTCCTCTTTTATCTATGCACATGTATATGCTTTGTTTTCTCATTTCAGGTCATGGAACCAAAGGAGTATTTGAACTTCTTTCAGGATGGCGTCGAACAAGAGAGAATCTTCCATTCAAGGACAGAGTAGCAGATGCCTACTCCGATGTCATGGTGTCCTATACAATGACAAGCTCCTTGTATTTCATAGCCTTTGGCATGGGCGCAAGCCCTTTCACTAACATTGAAGCTGTAAAAGTCTTTTGCCAGAACATGTGTGTCTCCATCCTGTTGAACTACTTCTATATCTTCTCATTCTTTGGCTCCTGCCTAGTCTTTGCTGGCCAGTTGGAGCAGAACCGTTATCACAGTATCTTCTGCTGTAAAATCCCTTCAGCAGAATACCTGGACCGAAAGCCTGTGTGGTTCCAGACCATGATGAATGATGGTCATCAACATTCTTCTCATCATGAGACCAACCCATACCAGCATCACTTTATCCAGCATTTCCTCCGAGAGCATTACAACGAGTGGATTACCAACATCTATGTCAAGCCTTTTGTGGTGATACTGTATCTCATCTATGCCTCTTTCTCCTTTATGGGGTGCTTACAGATTAACGATGGAGCCAACATTATTAACCTTCTTGCCAGTGAGTCTCCAAGTGTCTCCTATGCCCTCATTCAGCAAAAGTACTTCAGCAACTACAGCCCGGTGATAGGATTCTATATTTATGAACCTCTGGAGTACTGGAATGGCACTGTGCAAGAAGACCTAAAAACACTGAGCCAAGGGTTCAACACAGTGTCCTGGATTGAACAGTATTACCAGTTCCTTCGAGTGGGTAACATCAGTGCGACTAACAAAAGTGACTTCATCAGTATCCTCCAGAGCTCCTTTTTAAAAAAGCCAGAGTTCCAGCACTTCAAAAATGACATCATATTCTCTAAAGCTGGAGATGAGAATAACATAATAGCTTCTCGTTTGTACCTGGTGGCCAGGACTAGTGAAAACACACAGAGGGAGGCAGTGGAATTACTGGAGAAACTGAGACCACTCTCTCTTATACAGAGCATCAAGTTCATAGTGTTCAATCCGACCTTTGTTTTCATGGACCACTATGGTTTATCAGTAACTATGCCTGTCCTGATTTCTGGTTTTGGCATCCTGCTGGTGTTAATACTGACCTTTTTCCTGGTTATCCATCCTCTGGGAAATTTCTGGTTAATTCTCAGCGTCACCTCAATAGAGCTGGGCGTCCTTGGCTTGATGACATTATGGAATGTAGACATGGATTGCATTTCTATACTGTGCCTTATCTACACCTTGAATTTTGCCATAGATCACTGTGCACCCCTGCTTTATACATTTGTACTAGCTACTGAGCACACCCGAACTCAATGTATAAAGAACTCCCTCCAAGAGCATGGGACAGCCATTTTGCAGAACGTTTCTTCTTTTCTTATTGGGTTGGTCCCCCTTCTCTTTGTGCCTTCAAACTTGACCTTCACACTGTTCAAATGCTTGCTGCTTGCCGGCAGTTGCACACTTCTGCACTGTTTTGTTATTTTGCCCGTCTTTCTAACCTTTTTCCCACCTTCCAAAAAGCACCACAAAAAAAAGAAACGAGCCAAAAGGAAGGAACGAGAAGAGATCGAATGCATAGAGATTCAGGAGAATCCTGATCACGTGACAGCAGTCTGAAAGGCTCAGAAAAAATAAGAATATTTCCTCTTTTTAAAAAAGTGTTGCACAGAGATGCAGGGAAAATAGAGCAAAGATCTCAGCTGCTTGTGCTGGCCAGGTCTGACAAGGCAAAGGAAGATCAAGAAGGGGTATTCATGACACATCAAGGTGCAAACTTTTTTTAACAAAAATAATGAAAGTGAAAACAACCACAGATATTTCCTTTGAATTCTCATTCTCCACCAGGGAAGAGTTTATTGGCCATTAAATGTTTCTGAATATCAAACTGTAGCTCTAACGGGAATTACTTGATCTGTCATATTTAAGACTGAAGCAAAGGTGGAAAAAAAAGTTACCATTAAGTAAACAGTAGGGGAAAAAGAGAATACTTTGATAAAATTGCCCAGAGCAAAACAGAACAGAACAAAACAAAGAAAAACAAAAAGCATTTCACGCAAGAAAAGGGAACAAAACCTAAAAATGTCCTGGTATTTTTCCTTTTCTTGAGCAAGTTAAGATAAAACCTATGCACTTGGGAAGTAGGTGTTTAAATCAGCCTAAGCCAAAGTACTTCCCAGTTTCACTATACCACGTATATCTATAACACCACAGTTACAGTTAACGTGAATTTCAGTGGCAAAGCTATACTGCCAAGGGAGAGAAATCCTGGTCATATAGGAGAAGAAATTGCAATAGGTCATTTGGAAATGTAATGCTTAGTTTCTTTAAAAGTGACAGATGACATTAATCCCAAGAGGTCACAGCTGGCAGTTATCTCCATACCTACACTTGGGTATTTCTGAATTGCAAAATTCCCCTTGAACTAACAGATGCCACGAAACTAACCCAGGCCATTACCACTGCAGCAATGCTTGCAGTTCCTGCCATGTAACACTTCTGAATCCTCATTTATCAGTGTTGACATGAAATACTGAATATTAATCAAGCTGGTGCTTTAAATGTAATGATGGATTGCATATCACAGACAAAATGTGATTGTGTTACAGCTGAGTCAGCTCTGGAGCACCCACACAGTACTTTATTATGTATTTGGTCCAACAGACAAAGGGGTATGTTTGATGATCCCTGCAATATGCTGCAGGAAGTGGGATTTTCCCCTTCTTTAAGCAAAACGTCAGTCAAACATTTGCTACATTAGATTAAATAACAACGATTATGAAAATCCTTAGGGTTTTCTTGGGACTGAAGAAACTCCCAGCTGTAAAAAGACAGTTCAGTCCCCCAAGGGAAGGGGAGGGGAGGGAGGAATGTCTTTATTACTACTCCTAAATGTTTGAGTGCTGATTGTCTGCAATACAAAGCTTTGTTCTGGCAGTTGAAATCTCACAAAAGAATGTGGTAAATCCACAGTTACTACATGATGATGGGAATTATACTGCAAAGAACTGTGAATGACTTTCTCTGCTTTGCAAACTACACAGTTTAGTAACCCAAGAGAAGGGATGAAAACTATTCTAGCCATTTCAGTTTGCTCTTGGCCCAGTCCTCCACTGGAGCTTGCCATGTCCATCTTCTCTTCCAGTACTTTAAAAGGGCTTGCTTTCTACTCTCTGGAATATGGTATAGCATCACCTACATGAGCAATGTCTTCCTGAATATATAGTATCCGTGAGGACACTATGTAAAGATATCACTATATGGAGTGTTTATGTCTACTTTGTATTACTCGTGGGTACATTTAAAGATGTCTGGAAGCTGTTTGCCTTCCACAATGTGTATACATGTTTGTTCATGGATGGTCAAGTGAGTCTGCAGAGTTTGCTGATGAGGGTTTGTATATATATTTCTCTAAAAAGCTCTCTGCAAATTGATTCTTTGTTCTGTGACATCTCCCACCTCTTTCTACTGTTTCATTGTTGGGGAGAGCCAGAGGAAATTCACCTGCAGCACAAAAAGCCATTGCAGATCAAATGCTCATCAGCTGTTTCTGTTTTTAAGATATGCAGTTTTTCCTCTTCTCTGTCCTTTCTGTATTTTGCCATTACCATTTGCCAAAAAATGACCTCTGTGTTATAGGAGTGGTCAGAGTTGCTGATTGTTGAAGGGACCTTTTGTGTGCAACAAATTTTAGAGATACATTTTCTAGACAGGCAAAGCTTCCAAAGTCTGAATCCAGATTTAAATTTCAGGTATATCTAGATCAAGGTTATTGGTTTGACCCAAGATACTGAAAGAATCTGCTGCAAAACTAAGATCTAGATATTTCAGTAAAATTTAAGAGCAGGGGATGTTTTAATGTTGAGGTTTGGCTCATGTGTCCCTTGTTGGGAAGTACTTACTGACTTTGATCTGCATCTCAAAGACATTGTGCAATACCCATCTTTTTTAGGTTCTGAATGCCAAGTTTTCCGTTGCTTTTCTAAGGTTTCCTCCACTGCCCATACAAAATCTGACTATTATAGCACAACTGTGAGCCCTGGGTATCACTTCTGGAGATGTCCTTTTTCTCACCTGCCCCATGCATCACAATGGCCACACAGATGTATCCTGAGAATCTCTGTCATGTATTGTATTGAAGAAAGTAGCATTTTCCAAAGCCATCAAAGCAGGGATTCATCTCATCTAACGTTGGATGTTGATGCTGAAGATATTATTAACTGAGCTTCTTTTGTGGTCATAATAGAAAGACAGGCAGCTCTGACCCATTTTACAGCTGTGCATGAATCACACCTCTAAAATGCCTGTTTCTACCCATTGGTGATAAAGGAAGCTCGGGGTGTTTAGTTCAGGCACCTCAGCAGTGCCAGCTCATCCAAGTTTGGTGAGATTAACCCCACTAAAAGCGTTCAAATACCAAGTGAAAGAGAACAGAAAAAGGCCTTAGAGTCTTGCCTCCCGAGCGTCTATTTTAGGGATAATTCCCTGGTGTAACTCAGCTGAAAGTCTGCGATTGGATACGAGGCCTTTATGCAGAACAGAGCTTATGAATTTGCTGCTGGAATTCCCCTGGCAGAGATTGGTGAGCCAAGGAATCAGATGCCAGTGCTGAGGGCATGCTCACACGTGGTGATCTCAGTATCGTGCGTGTGCAGTAGCACTCGTATACAGCAGGCACAGAGCATGCAGATTACACTCTTTAAAAAGGAGTTTTTGATTTTGAAGGTAACGCAAGAGTAGAGCACAAAACAAACCAGACCCTTCGTTGATGTCATTTTGTTATTTTATCTATCAGTCCTTTTGCAGGAAAGAACATTGCCACTGCTACTTCTGCAGATATATCAGTCTCTATGGATCCAGAAAAGCTTCTCAAGCAAAAAAAAAGATCATTTTCGTCTGTAATTCAGTCATATGAGAACAGTTTTGAGGCGGAGAGACCATATTTATCAATGTCTTCCCATTCTTTTTATTTTTCTTGCAATGTTTTTGAATAATTTCTACCCTCTTTTGCACTCACATAGCACCTGTTCAGCTGAACTGGAGCTACACCAGCAACAGTGAAGACAGGACATAGTGCATGTACCCAAACAGGCTGACCCTCTGATCCAAGCTAGGTATTGAATCTTCATTATAAACTTTCTACCAGTTACAGTAGGTCCCCTGGGATATTGCACATATTCCTTAAAGTCTGTTTCTAGACAGAGTCTACATAAGCTGGTAAGAACCCTGCCTGCATTTTCCTACTTGGTTTGATTTCATTCCCTCAACGTTGTCTAAATTCATTGTTGAGACAACTCTGTTGAAGTCAACAGATTTATTGCCATGATATATTTGGCTCTGCATGCTTTTTAGCCAGTAAGAAATGAAGCCACAACAAATGGACGTCTTCACTGCTGATATGCTTGCTGAATATATCTGCCTATACTGTACAGCCATTGTTGCATGCTGTGTTCAGGAAGCTGAAGTGGAGGTGTCCTGTGTAATTTTTTCCATTACATTTTCCATGCAAGTAGTTCTAGCTGTAACTAATTTACTCCTCTGTCTTTGTAAGAATTAGGGCTTCACCTCCGTAGTCCAGTACTTGAAGTTTCATAAATTTATTGCCTAACAAAGCAACATATTTTTATGATCAGGATAGGTATAAATGCATGGCACCTTGCATGTATAATTTAAAGAGATTTTCTTCTAGACTGTCATTCTCAGCTTTTTATTTCAGAAGATTCCTAAGCAGGATGGATGAAACTTGCCATGCTAATATCTTTCTGAGCTAACTTGAGCAACTTTAGGTTTGAATTTTTTTGCAGCGAGATGGAAAGTCTGGGGGGAAAGAAGAAATATGAAATAAAATAATTGTATAATCAGTATTCCCTTTTTTCCCAAAAGGCTCTCACTGTTCTGCACTTAATTAAGTCACACTGAGTAGTGACTCTAGCTTAATTAAGATTTATTCTGATGGAGTTATTCCATATTTCATTATGACAAGAGCTTGGCTTATTGTCTTTATGGAAGCACCATGCTAAGGCCCTTGATTTTTTTTTTTTTTTTTTGTAATTATAAACTTTAGTAAGTACTTTTTCACTGCAACACTAGGTCTTTGAGTACCTCCAGCTCTCATCTGATGTTCTAGGAAACACTAAGAGGAAGCAAAGTTAAGCAATTAGAGAACAAGTGATGTGGTGGTGTTAGGGAGAAGGGATACTTCATGAAGGGGCAGCGTATCCCCCACAAAGGCTCCAAATACAGAATGATGTTAGGGCTGTCTCAGAAGTATGTTCTATGATGGAAAGTTCCAGATTAAAGTGAAATGGAAACTAAGTGGAGCAAGTTGTGTGGAGGATGAAGTAATCAAGCAATAGTCAGGATTTTGATTCTTGTTCCGTACCATCTTACCCAAGCAAGGAGGCATTTGAACAGGAATGGAAACTGAATATGGGAAGCAGCTCATCCATCAGCCAGAATGCTTCTTTGCACCGTAAGCTTGCATAAAAGAACATCACAAACCAAGCACACCTCAATATGGGTCACTCCAAAACCTGTTTTCTGCTTGGAGCAAGGAAGGAATGCCGTCTTGGGTTTCACACACCTGTGGGAAGGAAATTCAAAGCTTCAGTGGCATTCTA